CACAACCCAGGGCAACATGGGTTTAGAACAGGTCGCTCCTGTCTGTCTGAACTATTGGATCACTACGACAAGGTCCTAAATGCACTAGAAGATAAAAAGAATGCTGATGTAATATATACAGACTTTGCAAAAGCCTTCGACAAGTGTGACCATGGCGTAATAGCGCACAAAATGCGTGCTAAAGGGATAACAGGAAAAGTCGGTCGATGGATCTATAATTTCCTCACTAACAGAACACAGAGAGTAGTAGTCAACAGAGTAAAGTCCGAGGCAGCTACGGTGAAAAGCTCTGTTCCACAAGGCATAGTACTCGCTCCCATCTTGTTCCTCATCCTCATATCCGACATAGACAAGGATGTCAGCCAAAGCACCGTGTCTTCCTTTGCAGATGACACCCGAATCTGCATGACAGTGTCTTCCATTGCAGACACTGCAAGGCTCCAGGCGGACATCAACCGAATCTTTCAGTGGGCTGCAGAAAACAATATGAAGTTCAACGATGAGAAATTTCAATTACTCAGATATGGTAAACACGAGGAAATTAAATCTTCATCAGAGTACAAAACAAATTTTGGCCACAAAATAGAGCGAAACACCAACGTCAAAGACCTGGGAGTGATCATGTCAGAGGATCTCATCTTCAAGGACCATAACATTGTATCAATCGCATCTGCTAAAAAAATGACAGAATGGATAATGAGAACCTTCAAAACTAGGGAGGCCAAGCCCATGATGACACTCTTCAGGTCACTTGTTCTATCTAGGCTGGAATATTGCTGCACACTAACAGCACCTTTCAAGGCAGGTGAAATTGCTGACCTAGAAAATGTACAGAGAACCTTCACGGCGCGCATAACAGAGATAAAACACCTCAATTACTGGGAGCGCTTGAGGTTCCTGAACCTGTATTCCCTGGAACGCAGGGGGGAGAGATACATGATTATATACACCTGGAAAATCCTAGAGGGACTAGTACCGAACTTGCACACGAAAATCACTCACTACGAAAGCAAAAGACTTGGCAGACGATGCAACATCCCCCCAATGAAAAGCAGGGGTGTCACTAGCACGTTAAGAGACCATACAATAAGTGTCAGGGGCCCGAGACTGTTCAACTGCCTCCCAGCATACATAAGGGGGATTACCAACAGACCCCTAGCAGTCTTCAAGCTGGCACTGGACAAGCACCTAAAGTCGGTTCCTGACCAGCCGGGCTGTGGCTCGTACGTTGGTTTGCGTGCAGCCAGCAGCAACAGCCTGGTTGATCAGGCTCTGATCCACCAGGAGGCCTGGTCACAGACCGGGCCGCGGGGGCGTTGACCCCCGGAACTCTCTCCAGGTAAACTCCAGGTACGATATATAAACTAAATAATGTAGATCTTAATACTATTGATTGCGAAAAGAATTTTGGAGTTCTGGTTAGCAGTAATCTAAAGTCAAGGAAACAGTGCATTAGTGTTAGCAATAAAGCTAACAGAATTCTTGGCTTCATATCTAGAAGTATAAACAATAGAAGTCTTAAGGTTGTTCAACTCTATATATCCTTGGTTAGGCCTCATTTAGATTATGTTACACAGTTTTGGTCACTGTATTACAGGATGGATATAAATGCACTGGAAAACGTACAGAGGAGGATGACAAAGTTAATCCCATGTATCAGAAATCTTCCCTATGAGGATAGACTAAGGGCCCTGAATCTACACTCTCTCGAAAGGCGTAGAATTAGGGGGGGGGGGGATATGATCGAGGTGTATAAATGGAAAACAAGAATTAATAAAGGGGATGTAAGTAGCGTGCTGAAAATTTCCAGCCTAGACAGGACTCGCAGCAATGGTTTCAAATTGGAAAAATTCAGATTCAGGAAGGATATAGGAAAGCACTGGTTTGGTAATAGAGTTGTTAATGAGTGGAACAAACTCCCGAGTACAGTTATAGAGGCTGAAACGTTGTGTAGTTTTAAAAATAGGTTAGATAAATACATGAGTGGGTGTGGGTGGGCGTGAGTTGGACCTGACTAGCTTGTGCTACTAGGTCTGATGCCTTGCTCCTTCCTTAAGTGGAAGTGACCTGACTAGGTGGGTCATTGGGCTAATCCAGGGGGGGGGAGGACATGGATCTGCTTCACATGGGTCAGTAGGCCTGCTACAGTGTTCCTTCTTTCTTATGTTCTTATATTGTTTTCTGCAGCCCATTGAAAGATTTGGTTGATGTCACCTGGTGTCTTGCAGTGTCTTCACTGGAGGACACTGTCATGCAAATTCGGGTGTCATCTGCAAAGGAAGACAAGGCGCTGTGGCTTATATCCCTGTCTATGTCAGATATGAGGATGAGGAACAAGATGGGAGCGAGTACTGTACCTTGTGGAACAGAGCTTTTCACCGTACCCGCCTCAGACTTTACTCTGTTTACTACTACTCTTTGTGTTCTATTTGTTAGGAAATTATAGATCCATCTACCAACTTTTCCTGTTATTCCTTTATCACGCATTTTGTGCGCTATTACACCATGACCACACTTGTCCAAGAACAAAAGAAAGAAGGAACACTGCAACAGACCTACTGACCCATGTGGGGCAGGTCCAAATCTCCCACCGGCTTAACCCAATAATTTAGCCTAGTCAGGTCAGTCACAGGAGGAGGAGCACGGCATCTGACCTAGTAGCACAAGCTAGTCAGGTCCAACTCACACCCACCCACACCCACTCATGCATTTATCCAACTTATTTTTAAAACTACACATCTTAGCTTCTATGACGGTACTCGGGAGTTCGTTCCACTCATCCACAACTCTATTACCAAACCAGTGCTTTTCTATATCCTTCCTGAATCTGAATTTTTCCACTTTAAACCATTGCTGTGAGTCCTGTCTATGCTAGATATTTTTAGTATGGTATTTACATCCCCTTTATTAATTCCTGTTTTTCATTGATACACCTCAATTATATCCCCCCGTGTAAATAACATGTGCATTCTGTTTGTCTTCTAGAGCATCCAGGACCTTGTCGTAGTGGTCCAGTAGTTGGAACAGACACGAGCATCCTGCTCTAAACCCATGCTGCCCTGGGTTGTGTAACTGATGGGTATCTAGATGGGTGCTGATCTTGGTTCTTAGAACCTTTTCAAAGATTTTTATGGTATGGGACACCTGATTCACATGAGTAACATCTCATTGTAAAAGCCAGGTATAGATAATCATAAATCAGAGAGAAATAAAATTGTGGAAATTTTATACATAATTTCCTAAATGAATATAATAATTTCGTATTAAAATGTGATGCTATTTGGACCCTTCAAGAAATTTCGAGTGAGGGGGAAGGCGGAAAAGCCAGTAGGGACGCAGGGGGAGACGCCATGTTGAATTTAATGTGAACGCTGGTCCTTGGGTGGTGGAATGTAATTCGGTGTTTTCCAAGGCCTAAATGGGGTGTTTTGGCCTGAATTTTAATGGGAACCAGCGTTAATGTCTCCTGCTGAAGAATTAGGACAGGAAATTTGATGGGCCTTAAGAATTACTTGTGGATGGCGAAATAAGGAATACAGACTTCACTCACAGGGAAGTGCACCATAGTCTTTGCATTTAGACCTAGCTGGCCAGTATAGGATCTAGATGTTAGGCAGGTGTTGTGGGGTGATTCATCTACAATAATTGAATGGTATGTGGCAATAAAAAGTTCTTTTTTAATAACACTAATAATTTATGTATAATAAATATATTTGTTGCTCCTAGCAAGCCTAATCTTATACAGTCCACCTAATTGTAATTTTACCAGGGTAGCTGGTTTTAATATAGTTATTAATATAATGTCAGGTTTAGCCTTTTGTGAAAGGTGTAGAAGTGGGCAGTCGAAGGAGTTGCAGTTCGGTGACCTACTGTGACTAAGCTCTATTTACCTCACCCAGATTACTTGCAGGTAATAATTCAGGTAATGTCCTGTAAACCTCCTGCAGGTGATTTTCTAATAATAAATAATAATTTTTCACAGAAATCATGTACAATTCTTTTGGATTCATTCACATATTAACAACTTAACCTCAAAAAAGTACTTTACAGGAAAAAAGTAATATAACTTTGATATGTCTGTGCCAAACTTTAGAAATATAAGGAAAGACATAAACAATGATTCTGAATGTCATAGAAATACATTTTTGAGGCATGAGTAGATCCATAACTCACTATGATAACTTGAATGTTGACGATCATATTTAAGAAGCAGCCTGCAATGTCGATAGAATGGTTAATGTGGATAAAGACAGTGTACAGTTCAGGATTTTTACGTATGCCTATGAACTGTACATAAGAATATACTAACATCTCACCGACAAATGTCAACCTAGCTCTTAAATAGCAGGCCAGTGTATTATCCACTGTACTACATTTGGTTACCATTCAGTGGTCCAGTGGCTAACGCACTGGCCTACTAGTTTTAGGACAGGCTTGCCATGGGTTTGACTCTGTTCGGAGAATTGTTTACAATCATGTCATTACGATTTCGCGAGCCATACCGACGAGTATGTGAATAATGTACTATGAGGTTTATGGAATTTTCCCATAAACCACATTGTGTTACCCACATGTACAAAAGTGTCTTGATTCACGGTACATGAGTACCACCATACCATTGACAACCAGACTGAATGTTGTTGAAGTAACAAGGACTAGGCTTGCTTACAAGTACTTTCGGCACTTTGGCATACACAGACACTGATCAAACTAAATGTAAACTTTGTAGTTTGGTCACTTTCTTGAACACTATGTGCTTAATTGTCCATTTATTCAGGAATATAAAGATAATATAATAATTGACGTGATGTGTCAAGATATCTCATCACTGAAAGATATCGATTATCCTAAATTTGCTTGTAACAGATGAAATATACATTGTAAATATTTTTTATTTATTTCTCCCAGGTAATTGGTCCCCACCACATGCAACTATATATATATATATATATATATATATATATATATATATATATATATATATATATATAAAGGTTAGGTAAGCTTTCTAAGGTTCTTTTGGTACAAAATTATTAATTTTTACATTAACATAAATAAAAAAATTATCTTTAAACGTATTAAAGAAAATTTTAGAAAGTACTTAATTTTAAATGAGTTCTTGCTAACTGATCAATTTTACCTATTCGGCACATAGTGTTAGATTAGTTTTAGACAGAACCGTTCGAAGAGATTATATTCAGAAATAAGCGTTAAATCCGTATGGGTCACGCAGCACTGCTCCTCTTCGTACTGCAGATCCTCCAAGAGGTTTCACCATTGCCGTTGAGAAAATGAAAAGAAGTTAGCAGTCTTAAATGTATATTCCCTGAAAGGTATGTAAGACCAGCCACAATTCTGCAGTCTGTTAATATCTGATTGATTAAGGATGTGGGGAGAAGCATACAGTTCCCAAGGCCTTCGATCACTTGTCAGTCTTGGCAGCTCGCATAAGCTCACTACATCCAAATTGTCGACGTCTGTCAGTTTCACAGTCCTCAATTCAAAAAGCTGAGTGAGGTAACTCAAAAATAATTCTACGTTATCTACTCTGCCTTGAACAGTAAGTGTTTGCAAATTTGGTAGCATTTTGAGGAGGAAGTTGAGAGGTTCTTGCCTCAAGCGATATGACTTAACCTTGAGAGAGATCACACTTTCGAAACATGATGTTTCGGGAAGGCCTTTATGGTCACACTTAATTCCATGCTTAAAAGTTAAAGTTATATCCTGAAGAACAGGGCATACTTGAAGCAGCATTGGGATATCTCTCAAGCAAATTTCGTCAAGTTCTAACATTCTGAGCTGAGCCCCAATGCAAGCGAAAACTTCTGGTGCAGGTTGCCCTTGACTGGCATGTCTCATCCCGTAAATATGCAGAGCTCTCAAGTATGGGAAGTCTTCAGTAAGCGTTAAGATGTCACTCGCAATATTTTGTATACTTCTTCGTCTGTAAATTAGCTTCAGATCTTCGATCTCCGGTGCAACGCGTGAAATGGTATACAAAAAGTCCGAGTCAGCACGTATGTGGCTAGATTTCAGGGAAAGTACGTGCTGCTCGGGAAATTCTCTAATGAAGTTGTCATACGCGCATATAATATTTTGTATATCTAGTAATTTGCATGATAGGTAATTGAGTTTTGTGAAAACTACGAGAATGAGAACTAGAAAGTCTTGCTTCACTTTACAGTGCCCGGTAGAGAAATCAGCAAGTTGTGGCCATGATGGGTGTACATCGAATGTCCTTCCCTCTCGGACGCTGTTGAGGAGTTCCGTACAACTGTGGATTTTGGAGCCAATAATTAATTCTATTAACTCAGCTTCAGTAACTCGAGGCTCTTTAGCAGAACGCTCACTTATGTGCAAGACTGTGAGAGGACAAGTCTTAGCTGCCTTCAGTACATCAGGAGTGGTGTTGCCCCCCAGCTTCAGGATGCTGAGCTCAGGACACACAGGAAGCAGCGCTGACAACACTTTCATATCCAACCCAAAGTCGACTCCTGTTAAGTCTAATTCGTGCAATAAATGTTCCCTTTTGTACACTCCACATTCAGAGAACACGGCAGGAGTAGAAAGACTTGCAAACTGTCTATCTACAGGTACGATGGCTATCCTGCGAGCCCTGGCGCAAGCAGAGTCAAAAGTGGACGAGTTATATCGTAAACATAACATTCAAGACGGTCATGTAATATATGAGCGTGCAGGAGGTGGGCGTGGAGGAGGTGTGCTGCACGAGCAGGAACACAAGGCGGCAGATACCACAGGTCCGCCCACACTTGGTCTACTTCATACCAGACAGCCTGTAACACAAAGATAATAATAATAATAATAATAATAATAGTCTGTTCCCCTCCTGTTTTTTCTCTCATTAGGTACCCCCAAGTCTGGGGATAACTTAGTCATTAGTTTACTTTCGACAACTATGTTACATATAATAAAGGGGTCTTTACTTTTATTTGAGAACTGTGAGTCATCTGGGACAGGAGTAGCAATGAATAAGTAGAACAACAACAAATTCACTGCACAGTTTCCCTCGACGACGACAGATGTCTCACTCAGTCTGTTCAAGGCGTCTCAGATATTTTTTTTTTTGTATTTACTTATTTTTTATTTATTTATTTGCTAGATCAATTTTTCTGGTTTGCAGGAGCTATTAAATTTTATTAAGAGTTATTAGATTTTAAGTTATATGCAACAAATAAGTATACTTTCGTGACGGGATCTTATAGAGACTCTTCACTCTCAGTCACATAATAACAATGGGTATTGTGGTTGTTGCATGATGAAGGTCAGAAAGTCTTTTTCTCTGTGATGCAAATTAGTACGAAAAGTTTTCTGGAGTTTTGCTCCATTACAAAAGTCTTGGGATAACACTTACTTTCTCGGCATAAAAGTTAATTTTACTAACAGACAGACGTTGTCCATCTAGTGCGTACGTCCCAGCGCCTCTTTTTTGGTAGAGTTCTCTGCTCTCTTTTTGTGTATTTATGACGGGTAGTATTCCCACTCGTGTCCCTCTCCCCATCTACGCTACACACTGACAGAACTACATTTATATTCATCAGTAATGCCATCATCGCTATAATCATCTCCATCACCATCGTCACCCTGAACGTCATTTTCATTATCACCAACAACAATACTCGCAGATACTCACATACTTATTCATTATTCATCTCGGCTAGTTCATGTTGGATAACACTTCTGTTTTCTATATCAAATGCAGGATTTAGATAGAGAAATGTGGTAAAACTAGTGGAAGTGTGTATGCAATGAGAAAATTGCTAATGCACACATTTCTCTTTCATAAAACCACTGAGATGAGAGTTGGTGTCTGATTCTATAGCATAGATTATTGTGTGTTGTTATTCCATTTGTTTTATAAAAAATAATCTCAATATATCAGGCTGCTGCGGCTTACTAATATGAACAACGAGACTGATTTAGAAAGTAGGAAGAACTTCCTCAGGCTCAGTATTACTAAGATCATACAGTGCTGACAAGGGGCCTTAAGTTCTAAGGATATGGTAAATTTTACCATCCTCTCCAGGGGCTGTTTATCGACTTTTATTTTCCGCAATACTTAGTTTATGCTCAGTTAAGCGGCACTCACGCTCATCGGTATTTTAGCTCTCGAAATAAATAAATTTAAACTTTCTTCGGAAGAACTTTCTAGGTTCGTTCTAATATGAAACGAGACATTTTTCATACTCGGGTATTTTGGCCCAGTTATTTATGAGGTTTACCTGGAGTTTACCTGGAGAGAGTTCCGGGGGTCAACGCCCCCGCGGCCCGGTCTGTGACCAGGCCTCCTGGTGGATCAGAGCCTGATCAACCAGGCTGTTACTGCTGGCTGCACGCAAACCAACGTACGAGCCACAGCCCGGCTGATCAGGAACTGACTTTAGGTGCTTGTCCAGTGCCAGCTTGAAGACTGCCAGGGGTCTGTTGGTAATCCCCCTTATGTATGCTGGGAGGCAGTTGAACAGTCTCGGGCCCCTGACACTTATTGTATGGTCTCTTAACGTGCTAGTGACGTCCCTGCTTTTCATTGGGGGGATGTTGCATCGTCTGCCAAGTCTTTTGCTTTCGTAGTGAGTGATTTTCGTGTGCAAGTTCGGTACTAGTCCCTCTAGGATTTTCCAGGTGTATATAATCATGTATCTCTCCCGCCTGCGTTCCAGGGAATACAGTTTTAGGAACCTCAAGCGCTCCCAGTAATTGAGGTGTTTTATCTCCGTTATGCGCGCCGTGAAGGTTCTCTGTACATTTCTAGGTCAGCAATTTCACCTGCCTTGAAAGGTGCTGTTAGTGTGCAGCAATATTCCAGCCTAGATAGAACAAGTGACCTGAAGAGTGTCATCATGGGCTTGGCCTCCCTAGTTTTGAAGGTTCTCATTATCCATCCTGTCATTTTTCTAGCAGATGCGATTGATACAATGTTATGGTCCTTGAAGGTGAGATCCTCCGACATGATCACTCCCAGATCTTTGATGTTGGTGTTTCGCTCTATTTTGTGGCCAGAATTTGTTTTGTACTCTGATGAAGATTTAATTTCCTCGTGTTTACCATATCCGAGTAATTGAAATTTCTCATCGTAGAACTTCATATTGTTTTCTGCAGCCCACTGAAAGATTTGGTTGATGTCCGCCTGGAGTCTTGCAGTGTCTGCAATGGAAGACACTGTCATGCAGATTCGGGTGTCATCTACAAAGGAAGACACGGTGCTGTGGCTGACATCCTTGTCTATGTCGGATATGAGGATGAGGAACAAGATGGGAGCGAGTACTGTGCCTTGTGGTCATTAGCTTTTTTTTTTTTTTACAAGATGAGCAACATTACCATTCTTTTTTCTAGTTATTTTATTTACACCTTGTCATGCTAAACTACTGAGAGGGGGGAGATGTTTAACATACTAACAAGTTCCCATTCCTGTTGACTAACCTCCTGTTTCCTGTTCTTGCATTTGTTAGAACAGTTTGGAAGGTTGTAAGTCTATGGTTCCACAATCACGAAATGCTTTACCAACCCTTCTAGCTAAACATGCTCATTTGCATAGTTGTAGATCATTATGATACTCGTGATGCTGTTTGTTAACATTCTGAAGTTTTATTAGATAGAAGTGGCGACAAGCGGATTTTATGGCTTGACGTGCTGTCGGAGTGTGAGCAAGGTAGCATGAAGGGGGTTCAAGGGAAAAACCAGTTAACTGGATTTGAGTCCTCACCCCGACCTCTTAAGGGTCGTCTGAACAGTGATGTCAGCACATTTTTGATAAGGCAGCTACTGAATGAATGATAGTAAATGTGTTTCCTCTTTCCCAGGTCACTTACCATGGTGAGGGACGGCCGGTGTGTGGACAATTATGATACTCGTAAAATACACCTACATTTTTTTTATTTACGCGGTCGCAACGCGATGTACTTACAAGACAGTGTATGTTCTTGGTGGAACTGCGTGAGTACGGTTTGATATCGTGTTTGACTTCCAATCAGTGTGAGGTTCTAATATTTGTGCTGAATAACAAACGGATTTAGCATTTAATATAAATATAATAAACAAAAATATGATTTTGGTCGGCACCTCAAAATCGGCCTTAAAAAATTCTCGTCTTCTGGTCAGTTAGTAAAAAGAAAAAAATAATTTTAATTCAAATCATTAAGTTTGAAGCCTACTGACAACACAATTAAGGCTGCATGACACTTGTATTTCACTATTCATGAATACATTAATATCAGGATTGTAGCAAACTCTAAATATACATACACATATACTGAGACATACACCCCTCCAAGTGCATATACACTGCTGCTGCTCAGTGCATACACATCGAGTGATGTACTGCTAAGATATGCAAAGTGTGACTGTTGTGTGGTGGAGAGAGATGATGTGTGGTGGGAGTGTAGCTGAAGTCTGTGTGTGTGTGTGTGTGTGTGTACTCATCTATTTGTGGTTGCAGGGGTCGATTTATAGCTCCTGGCCCCGCCTCTACACTGATCACTACTAGGGCCTCTCTCTTCCTGCACTATGAGCTTTATCAAACCTCGCCTTAAAACTATGTATGGTTCCTGCCTCCACTACGTCACTTTCCAGACTATTTCATTTCCTGACAACTCTGTGACTGAAGAAATACTTCATAACATCCCTCTGACTCATCTGAGTCTTCAGCTTCTAGTTTTGACCCCTTATTTCTGTGTCCCATCTCTGGAACATCCTGTCTTTGTCCACCTTGTCAATTTCTCGCAGTATTTTATATGTTATCATGTCTTCCCTAACTCTTCTGTCCTCCAGTGTCGTCAGGCCGATTTCCCTTAGCCTTTCTTCATAGGACATTTCCCTTAGCTCTGGGACTAGTTTTGTTGCAAACCTTTGCACTTTCTCTAATTCTTGACGTGCTTGACCATGTGTGGGTTCCAAACTGGTGCTGCATACTCCAATATGGGTCTGACGTACACGGTGTACAGTCTTGAACGATTCCTTACTGATGCATCGGAACGCTATTCTTAGGTTTGCCAGGCGGCCATATGCTGCAGCAGTTATCTGGTAGATATGCGCTTCTGAAGATGTGCTCAGTATTATACTCACGCCAAGTTCCTTATCCTTGAGTGATGTTTGCCGTCTTTGGCCACCTAGCCTATACTCTGTCTGCTGTCTTCGTTGCCCTTCCCCGATCTTCATGACTTTGCATTTGGCGGGGTTAATTAAATTCGAGGAGCCAGCTGCTGGACCAGGCTTGCAGCCTGTCCGGATACCTTTGTAGTCCTGCTTGATCCTCATGCGATTTAATTCTCCTCATTAACTTCACATCATCTACAAACAGAGACACTTCTGAATCTATCCCTTCCGTCATGTCATTCATATACACCAAAAACAGCACTGGTCCTAGGACTGACCACTGTGGAACCACGCTCGTCACAGGCGCCCACTCTGACACCTCGTCACGTTCGTGTGTACTCACCTATTTGTACTCACCTATTTGTGGTTGCAGGGGTCGAGTCTTAGCTCCTGGCCCCGCCTCTTCACCGGTTGCTACTGGGCCCTCTCTCTCCCCGCTCCATGAGCTTTATCAAACCTCGTCTTAAAACTGTGTATGGTTCCTGCCTCCACTACGTCATTTTCTAGGCTATTCCACTGCCTTACAACTCTATGACTGAAGAAATACTTCCAAATATCTCTCTGACTCATTTGTGTCTTCAACTTCCAATTGTGGCCTCTTGTTTCTGTGTCCCCTCCCTGGAACATCCTGTCTTTGTCCACCTTGTCTATTCCACGCAGTATTTTATATGTCGTTATCATGTCTCCCCTGACCCTCCTGTCCTCCAGTGTCGTCAGGCCGATTTCCCTTAATCTTTCTTCATAGGACATTCCCCTTAGCTCTGGAACTAACCTTGTCGCAAACCTTTGTACTTTCTCTAGTTTCTTGACGTGCTTTATCAAGTGCGGGTTCCAAACAGGTGCTGCATACTCCAGTATGGGCCTGACATACACGGTGTACAGTGTCTTGAACGATTCCTTACTAAGGTATCGGAATGCTGTTCTCAGGTTTGCCAGGCGCCCATATGCTGCAGCAGTTATCTGGCTGATGTGTGCTTCCGGAGACATGCTCGGTGTTATACTCACCCCAAGATCTTTCTCCTTGAGTGAGGTTTGCAGTCTTTGGCCACCTAACCTATACTCTGTCTGTGGTCTTCTGTGCCCTTCCCCTATCTTCATGACTTTGCATTTGGCAGGATTAAATTCGAGAAGCCATTTGCTGGACCAGGTGTCCAGTCTGTCCAGGTCTCTTTGAAGTCCTGCCTGGTCCTCATCTGATTTAATTCTCCTCATTAACTTCACATCATCTGCAAACAGGGACACTTCTGAGTCTAACCCTTCCGTCATGTCGTTCACATATACCAAAAATAGCACTGGTCCTAGGACCGACCCCTGTGTGTGTGTGTGTGTGTGTGCACGCAGACCAAGCCCCCCCCCTCCTCTCCACACACACATTATAATATATATACACACACAATTCGCAAACTGGCGAAATTTCTTACAAATATTATCTCAGTACACAGCAGGATCAAACTTGTGTACTCTGCTTTGCATCAAAGTAAACAGTACTTTAGCCACACATGAATGAGTGTGGTTAAGTGCGGCGTTGATCCCTGGGGTCAACGCCCCAGGGGTCAACGCCCCAGGGGTCAACGCCCCAGCGGCCCGGCCCATGAATGGATTTTATGTTGTATTTTTCTCGATATCGACCAATTTGATCTTAGTTAAGTCTCTGGATGTCCAGCGTTATGGCTGATCTTAGCTGTCTCCTCCCTTGACTTTATAGCAATGTCAATATTTCGCCTAATAGATTAAAGGCTTGGAGTGTTGAAGTATGAACCTCAAAGCAACCAGCAGAGTGATTGAGCGATAAATAATTTAAAATAAAATATAGTTTGATGGCTCTCTTTCCCTGCAGACTGGAGCCACAACAAATGAGGAAAACTTTGCTAAGCTCATTACACATATTTCATAAGGAAAAGTGATGCACTGGATGGTCCGCAGTACAAATGCTAACACGTATTTTTTTACGAGCCCGCGTTAAAAATTACTGCTATTCATCTGGGCGAGATGAAATAAAACACCACATTTCCTAGAGTCAGCAGCGGAATCAAATTTCAGGACTCATTGTGTACATGTGTAACCTTGAGACTATCACTCACCCCACATGTTACAAATGTCAGTGCTCCGCATAAGAAGGGGGCTTCCTATAAAGTAATTTATACCTGTCAGTTAATCCATGTTTATAGTACATTGCACTGTATGGAAATAAAGTTATCTTTACATCACTAGGAAATGCCCTGCCCAGTCACACTAGTGTGAAGTGTGTTTACAGGTCCAGCTATCTTAGCGGTATTATGAGCCGATAAGACACTCGACCGCCTCTACAGAACGTGTCAACCGTCAGACCCAGGAAGATAGAACATCCCATCCTGACTGCAGGAAGAGGCTCACCCACAACACCACAGTGTGCACCGGGGCTCTTGAACTCCCTACGCCCCAAGGACCAGTCTAAAAGACGGGGGAAGGAGTATTGGGTGCTGCTTCTAGCAATCCAAACAGCAGCGACTTACCCTTGTGTGTACCTGGGGCTTTCCATATGGGTGATAGCCCATGGGCTCGCATGGGGGAAAGACCATGACCATTACGATGGTGCATAACAGAAGGTGGAAGTCAACCTATAGAGTACCTTATAACAATATTTATAGCCTCTCAATGAGCCTGAATATTGGTTCATGCTGGCTACAGTTACTGAAGTTGTGCAAGGATCACAGACTCAGACTTCTGCAACACAATTATCCTCACAGATTTGTTAAGTTATACCATGAATTAAGGAAAGATCTTGGACTTCACCTTACGAAACAGACAATAGTAATTATGGACGAGGTAGATTATACTGGAAAAATGAACATGTTATTAAAAGACGGGGAACTTACGCGCCTCTTAAAGTTACTTCTTCAGTCCTTAGAACTGAAGAAGTTGCTCATTGTGAAGCGTATCCTTAAATAAATATCATAAACTATATCAGGTTCATATGGTGCTTCAGCTGCAGCCTCTCTTGTTTTATCTGTACAAGGTAGGTTCAGACCAGCTGAGCCTGACAGCTGACCGGTGGATGATTCAGCTGGGCAGGTGGTGTTAGCACAAGCAACAACACTAGTGTCGTAAGTAGAAGTGACGGAACTCTGGAGATGTATTCCCTGTGATCCTTGCACAACCCCAGTAACTGTAGCCAGCATGAACCAGTATTCAGGCTCATTGAGAAGCTATAAATATTGTTATAAGATACTCTATAGGTTGACTTTCAACTTCTGTTATGCACCATCGTCATGTTCATGGTCTTTCCCCCATTAGAAGATGGAGAAACTTACGTGCCCCTTAATGTCCTGAACTGTACATAAGGTCTTTATCTACAGCATGTCGGTGTTATCATGCCATTTACATCCAGCGCCAGAAGGCTTAATTAGCATTCCTTCAAGCAAATTTTTTACCATTCCACAATGACTTTTGAGACCCCCATCCTTATCCTTTCCAGCAGCCTTGTTAACAGCTCCTGAAAGTATTCCCTCCTTCCAAACAGTTCCATCTCCCCATCTAATTTCTCCCCTCTTCCGGTTGTAATTGGATCCCAGGTTTTCTACACTTATTAATTTCCCTCCCAAACTTTTTCAAATTCTCAGCAAAATTAGTTGATAAGACTCGCCCATTTTCTCACTGGCTCTCCTTTCGCACTCCCTCGCCACTATTTTAACCTTTTATTTTTCCCTCCAGGTGCTCCGCCCTCCGCTATCACTTCTACATTGCAAAAACTTCTCATGTTAACTTTTTCTCCTTTATTATTATTTTTACTTCATCATTCCACCAACGACAGCAACAATAATAATACACATCACACAGGTATATACATCGAGAGATGGGTATCTATCAGTTTACATACACTGAAAGTTTGTTTTAATCCCTTTTTTGGGGGGGATTAAAGTATTCTTGACCCATGATGACCACGTTACAAACAGCCTTATTGACCCTTGTAGTAGATAAGGTTTAAATCACGTTAAAAAACAATAACATACAAAACCGATAACAACACAGTCAGTAATTATAACTAAAATACAAATAAATAGATTTAATAAATAACACACAACATAAAAACATGAAAGTATTTCACAGCCAAGATCTTGATTGGTGTCACAGTAACGTGAAAATCTGCGCCACCAGACAGAAGCTTCAACACCAGAGCACAACACACTACTATTTACCTCATCATCGCGACAATAACGCTGATAACACACTGTTGCTTGCACCACCAAGTCTATACATAGGTCGACGAGTGGCTTAGGATGCATTTGCAAACCAGCAAAGCTTCTAATGCGGCAAGTTTAATATATTTTCTGGCTTTGTAGTTAAGATCTAGAGGTGCTGAAGGTGACTGCCATCACGTGCAACTGATAGTAAGGATTAATATTAACGGAGCGTCGCTAACGCAGTTGTCAGGTAGGTAAATAATCCAAAATATAATGACACGTATCGTTATATTAAATTTTGCTTCAGAGGAAATAAACTGTAAAATTAACTGCAGAAGTATATCAATAAAAATGTATAATTTATTTGAAAATACAGATTTGATAAGGAGGTAATAATGTCTGTATTAATACCCGGCTGATAAGACATGCCAGATACACTCTACGACTGTACAAGAAAAGTAAGCAAGTTATGCCATTTCTTTTAAGTTTGGAATTCATTATATAATCAGAGCCCTTTGTTTCATACAGAATAATACTAGATTTTTTAAAACAAGAAATTAATCATAATTCCGTGTATACAAATGGTGTGTCAGACTGAAACATAAGTATACAAGTCAGTGTTACCAGATTGTGATCAAGGAGTATTTGTGTTTAATAAACAAACAGAGTTATCAGGAGGGTGGGAGTACATGGACAGAATAGATATATGGGAGACGATAAATTTATAATCCACTTCCTGGGAATGTAGCTCTGTGGTAGTCTTAGAGTTATAACCAAAGTACCCAGGTTTAACCTCGGGAGAGTAGAGATATGATTGGGTAAGTCTCCTTTCGTCTGTTGCACCTATTCACCTATCAGTCAATAGGTATCTGGGTGTTGGGCGACTACTACCGCTAAGGTATACCACCACCACCAGGTGGTGGTGGTATACCTTAGCGGTTAGGCCTCAATGTGCGCTGAGGAAGAATTGATAACAGTTCTTAGTGAGTTTACTGTAACCAGTCAGGATCTCACATAGCCCGTCACTTTGAATAGCAAGAGGTAAATGGAATTTACTGATTTTTTTTGTATGTCTTGTAGTGAGTTAGTGTTAGTGTTAGTGTTAGTGTTAGTGTGTGTGTGTGTGTGTGTGTGTGTGTGTGTGTGTGTGTGTGTGTGTGTGTGTGTGTGTGTGTGTGTGTATGTGTTTGCGGGGGAGGGGGAAGCTATGGTGATGTTATCAGTGACAATGTGGGTCTAGGACTGCTTGTAACCTCAAATGACCAGGAATTAGTGCGGACATTAATGATCACAAACACTTACTGGGGTTCCCTTTTCTGCGATGAGGAATTTGAGTCTGATGGTCATGCATAAACTCTGCACAATACATTACAACATTTGGGTAACGCTGCAGTGACAACGATTTCGACTCACAACCAAAACAATATGACATTCTGTTATTTTATTATTTCTGGAGACGCAGTAAATATTTCCTTACATGTGTCTCCCCTGTTCTCCTGGCAATAGATACCTGAGATTCAACATGTTGGCATATCCTAGGAGAGAGGATCAAAGAGCCCTAAAAGAATTAAGTCACACTGATTGTCTTTGTTGGGCAATCCTGGGTTGTTAACCCACCGGAGTAATAATCCGAATACATTTGTCTTCTGCCCCCCTTCCTAATCTGCTGCCCATGAATTTCCATTATTACTGTTACTTCCCTCCTTGACAATCAGCTCCAGATAGACTGGTGCCTAACCCAGCAGCAAACCTCAGCCAGCATGCAACACAGAATGAACTCCGGTGTGAAAGGATTGCAGAGAAAGAACGATGGTAATAGGCAATTCATTTTTTTTCCTTGCGAAGAGGATTAGTATGTATAAGAGGTGCTACAAGAGTCACAATGAGAGCAGCTGCTTCCATGATGCTTAACGTGTCTTCTAACTTGAGCACCGTGTGTGATACCAACGTTCTGAAGGACTTCGTTGTTTGCTTGGCTTATTTGGTTTAAAATTTATTGACTACGCAACTGGTCATTAGGTATCCCAAAGGGGAACTTTAGGTACTTGCTGGAATTTTTTTCTTTCTCCAAAGTTTAGTTTTTATTTCGCTCATAACACGAGGCCTCATTCCATCGGCATTAAATTTTCAACGTTGGTGTACGGTAACTAGGGCAAGATTCTAGGAACAATTATCATATACAGATCCTATGACCAAAGTTGCTGAACACATTGCCAGCATCCTGTAATGGCTCGGATAACTTTCAAAACCCGTCAGTGGCAGAGTTTCAAACGTGAAATTAAAATGTAAGCGAACATCTGGCAAATTTGTGTGTAAAGTAATGTGAAATTCTCATTCCCGTTAAATCATGTTAAATGTAATTTAGTACCTCTTCTGAACGGCTTCAATATTTAACAGCTGATGCATCTTACAGCCATTATAATACCCAATAAATTTTATTTGTAACTGGATAAATTTGTCAATTTGGAATCACTGGAATTTATGTTATAACTGGAAACTCTCTCTCATATAATTAGTTTCAAAATTTTAGCCCTGATGTGTTTTCAAGAAAGCAAAAATCACGTTGCTATCGAGTCCCTTAGGTCCCACTTTGCCAATTTTATTAAACAGATTGAGATACTGATTTCCATTCGTCAACTAAAGAATGCCTCATCTCATCGACTCGGAATATTAAAACTGATGCATTCCATAAGAGGGTAAAGATAAGATTAAGTGCAAATTTGAATTGTTAATAATATATATATGAAAAAAATTGAATCGTTAGCTTGAGAGCAATTACTGGAACATTCATTTTCTGAGAGACATCAAGTTTTCAGTGTTGATGGGCGGTATTAAAATAAAACCTTTGTTTTCTTTTTCAGATATGCAAATTTTAAATTGCCAATTTTACTAAATAAATTGGTTGGTTCCAAGTGATAACCAGAAAATTCATCTTCTGGTCGACTACAAACGCTGAAGTGATGGTGTTACTGAACTGGAAGTATTTTTGTATATAAATAGGCATTTGTAGGTGCCCACTTGCCAGTTTTATAGAATTTATCAAATTGGACTTTCTTGAAAAATACACAACAAAATTATTTTTCCTTAAAAGAATGAATAAATTTTTAAAACAATACAGAACTGCAAAAGAAGAAAATTGAGAAATATTGACAACTCCCGTTTTTACAGCATTTTTAAACCTTCATAAGTGAATCCTTAAATAATGTAAGATGGGATGCAGCGCTGTATAGCCCTTGTGGTTTAGCGCTTCTTTTTGATAATAATAATAATCATAATAATGTAAGATGGGATGTCAGAGCTGGCACAGTGTTATGTACAGTGTTATGTACAGTGTTATGTACAGTGTTATGTACAGTGTTATGTACAGTGTTATGTACAGTGTTATGTACAGATTATGTACAGTATGTATTATGTACAGTGTTATGTACAGTATTATGTACAGTGTTATGTACAGTATTATGTACAGTGTTATGTACAGTATTATGTACAGTGTTATGTACAGTGTTATGTACAGTGTTATGTACAGTTATGTACAGTATTATGTACAGTGGTTATGTACAGTATTATGTACAGTTATGTACAGTTATGTACAGTAGGTTATGTACAGTGTTATGTACAGTGTTATGTACAGTGTTATGTACAGTTATTATGTACAGTGTTATGTACAGTATTATGTACAGTGTTATGTACAGTCATGTACAGTGTTATGTACAGTGTTATGTACAGTGGTTATGTACAGTGTTTTTTATGTACAGTTTATGTACAGTATTATGTACAGTGTTATGTACAGTATTATGTACAGTGTTATGTACAGTGTTATGTACAGTGTTATGTACAGTGTTATGTACAGTATTATGTACAGTGTTATGTAATATGTACAGATACAGTTTATGTACAGTGTTATGTGTTTATGTACAGTTTATGTACAGTTATGTACAGTTATGTACAGTGTTATGTACAGTGTTATGTACAGTGTTATGTACAGTGTTATGTACAGTGTTATGTACAGTGTTATGTACAGTGTTATGTACAGTGTTATGTACAGTGTTATGTACAGTGTTACAGTGTTATGTACAGTGTTATGTACAGTGTTATGTACAGTGTTATGTACAGTATTATGTACAGTGTTATGTACAGTATTATGTACAGTGTTATGTACAGTGTTATGTACAGTGTTATGTACAGTGTTATGTACAGTGTTATGTACAGTATTATGTACAGTGTTATGTACAGTGTTATGTACAGTATTATGTACAGTATTATGTACAGTATTATGTACAGTATTATGTACAGTGTTATGTACAGTGTTATGTACAGTTGAATTTTCATTTACAATTATTACGTTAAATGTCGTATTATCAGTTAATACATTTTTCAGTGCATTATTTAACTGAATGTAAGTGATATTAGTGTCTATGTAGACGTTTATGACATACCTTATGTCAGTTCGCTACAGTATATGTACATGCATTAGATACAGTTTATGTACAATATCTGCTACAGTATTCATGTACAGTTATGCAGTGTTAGCACAGGATACTGCAGATTATGTACAGTATTACGGATTTTGTACATTAATGTCAGTGTTGCAGTGTATTAATATACATTATTTCGTGATGTCAGTGATCTATTGACCATATTATGAAAAATTTATATTACATTATTACTGTTGTACCAATTATTTGTGTTTCATTGTACACATACTTCATTGAGTTATTAAGAACAGATACTAATACGTATTCCCAGACTTAATTATCAATGGTCCAGTCGAGACCGAAACATCGTCCATAAGCTCTTTCTCCTATGTACGGCTATTTGTGTACAGCAAAGTGTACAGCGCTCACTATTGCAGTGTCGCCTCCCACAATATGAGAGCCGCAGAGCTACACAACACCACTACATTTCCTGGTTCTAACGCAGTAAAGTGTACAGTGAACATTGCAGTTACGTCACGTGTTATGCTGTGAAAGTCGCCCAGCTACATAACTCGACTTGCTGACGCTTGGGAGCTCCTGGCCACACCACTGTGGCCTCGCTCTTGCTGCAAGAGTTCACGAAGGCTGCACTAATAGCATTCATCAGCCGCCCTGCATCAAAGACCAGGAGAATGGTACTTAAAATGCTCAACCTGTCCTTCGGAGAGAAAGCTTATTTTCAAATGGGTAACATTACGTTCATTTCTGCACGGT